TCAGATCTAAACTTTGTAGTTTTGCAACATTCAGTTGTAAATGGTGAGGACAATTAACTTACTGGAGGAAGAGGTTCCAAAATATCCCCTGTTCAGTGATGATCAGTGCAAAAATTGAGACTGAATCATTTGCAAGCCTTAAGTGCTGAGTGAATGATCCATCATAACGGTCTGATGTCCCATTTCAATTCTGTCCATATGATGTTAAGAAATGACTGAAGGCACTGGATGCTGCCAAGGGTTTGGGCCCTTGACAACATTCTAGCAATAGTGCTGAGGACTTGTGCTGCAGAACCACCCATGCCCCTAACGATACTGTTGCAATACAGTTACAACTCTGGTATCTCCAAATAATGTAGAAAATTTCTCAAGTATGTACTGTCCAAAAAAAAGCAAGAGAAATCCAACCCGGCCATTACCGCCCCATCAGTATACACTCGATTGTCAGTAAAGTGATGGAAGGTGTCATCCATAGTACTATGTAGCAGCACTTCCTCCGTGACGCCCAGTTTGGCTTCCACCAGGGCCACTCAGCTCCTGACCTCATTACAGCCTTGGTTCAAACATGGTCCAGAGGTGAGGTGAGAGTAACTGCCCTTGTCATCAAGGCCACTGGCATCGAGGAGCCCTGGCAAAACTGGAATCAATGGGTATCAGGGGGCAAACTCTCCACTGGTTGGAGTCATACCTGGCATAATGGAAGATGTTTGTGGTTGTTGGAGATCAGTTGTCTCAGCTCCAGGACATTTCTGCAGGAGTTCCTCAGGATAGTATCCTTGGCTTAACCATCTTTAGCTGCTTCATCAATGGCTTTCCTTCCATCATAAGGTTAGAAAAGATGATCGTCATGAATGATTGCAAAATGGTCAGCACCATTCACAACTCCTCAGACACTGAAGTAGTCTTCCTACAAATGAGCAAGACACTCAAGTCAACATCCAGATTTGAGCTGATGAGTGGCAAGTAAATTTGCACCAAAAAGTGCCAGGCAATGCCCATCTTGAAGAAGAGAGAATCTGGCCATCACCCCATGAATTTTCATGGGATTTCCATCACTGAATTCCTCACTATTAACACCCTGTAGGTTACAATTGGTGTAAAAAACTGAACTGGACCAGTAATATTAGGAATTCTGCAACAAGTAATTCATCTCCTGATTCTTCAAAGCCTGTCCACCATCTTTGAGGCACAAGTCAGTAGTGTGATGAAATCTTCACCTGCTTAGATGAATGCAGCGCCAAGAATGCTGAATAAGCTTGACACGACCCAGGACAAAGCAGCCCATTTGGTTTGCACCCCATTTAGCACCCTTCAATGTCCACTCGCTCCACCAACAACAAATAGTGACAGCAATGTGTACCAACTACGAGATATAGTAACTCACTAAGCATCCTTAAACAGCTCCTTCCAAGCCCGTGACCTCCATCACCTAGAAGAGCGAGGGCATCAGATGTGTAGCAACGCATATATCTGCAAGTTGCCCTCCAAGTCATGCTACATTGAATTTGTGGAATTATATTGTCATTCATTCGTTGTTGCTGGGTCAAAATCCTGGATCTCTCTCCAATAGCAATATGATGTAACTTCTTCATGTGGACTGCAGGGGCTGAAGACGGTGGCCTGCCATCACCTTCTCAAGGGTAGTTAGGAATGGATAATAAATGTTGGCCTAGCCAGTAGTATGCACAAAATCTGAATGAATTTTTTAAATATTCAGTGCAAAGTACCCTTCGTTTCAAATCTAAACATCATGCTTGATGCAAAATTTGTCATTTAGCAACTCTGCGTAACCTGAGAACCAGTTTGAAACTTCCTTACTGTCTTTTTGAGTATCCATTTATAATTCATCATAATCTTCCAGCTGTATGTAGCTGAAAAAGCTTTTGCTATTATTGCCACAATTGCAGACCATCTTTTCCAATCATTTTGTCTGTCTCATTTGTACATAGTACCTCTCCCCACTCTCCAAATTAAATTCTTTAAATGTGCAGAATGTTTCTGATTCAGACTGATTTCTGGGAACAAGTGCTGTAAGATGTTAGATTTTAAAATGCAACTATTATATGAAAGAGGCTATTTTCTTCTGGTATATGAAAGATAGGTATCTGAGATTTCCATCATTATGTGATGTATTACTTTAGTCTATTTGCTGCAGTTAGTCTGCAGCAAGACTGCATGTCAGGTCCCAGGCTGCCTATGAGTGTTATATGAGAAATTTGCCAGAAGAATTTAAATCGTTTTGTTGCAGTGAAGTAATGACCTAGTTTCCTGGCCTGAAGATTAGTTTTGAAAAACAAGGAAGTTTACCTTAAGTAGAACAATTTTTTGTTTAGGTTTCACAAAATCTGATGTGTAGGTGCTGATGATGTATTTTGCTTTTGTTTTTTAGAAGCTTAAGGAGACAAGTTTAACAGTGAAAATTTAAATAATTCATTGCTACTTCAGCAATGTAAACTGGCGTCATACTGTTATGACTAGGCAGCATCAGAGGAGCAGGAGAGCTGATGTTTCGGATCGGGACCCTTCTTCAGAAATCCTGCCTGGCCTGCTGTGTTCCTCCAGCTCCATATTTTGTTTTCTCTGACTCCAGCATCTGCAGTTCTTGCTATCTTGTTATTATGACTAATTTGGTTTATGTTTAATTGTAATCTTTATCTTAATCTCGCCATACAAGAATCTTTAACATTGTTGTTTGGCATGCTCATCAGAGATATAAGATAATGACAGTTAAATCAGGCAATGTTGCCTTCATCTGAGCCTCAGCTCTGGAATCCCCACCTCCCACTTAAATCTCTCCACCTCTCTATTTTTCTCAGTTTCTTAAAGCTGCCCTTGACCAAGCTTTAGGTCATCTGTTGCAATATCTCTTCATATAGCTCTATAGCAACTGTTTTGTGACAATTTTTCTGCTAAGTATCTGAGGCAGTTTCTTGCATTGATTATTAGCACGTCTAATGCAAGTTACATAGTATGGTGAAGATAGTATCCTTGAGATTTGCCTCCAGTTGAACTGAACTCATTCAACATTATAACCTTTAGTTTCAGTATTGGGGCACTGCAGACTGAAGACTATCTTGAATAGCACAGTGCTGAACTGCCAGTATGAATATCAAAGGCAGATACATGCCTATAACACATCCAGTACATTCATCACATCTAAAACTCTGTTGCAGGTGTGAAACAATTTTAATAGCATAACGAGGTTACTTGTGAAAAGTTGGTACAGTTTTATTTGCAGATAAATCGGCTTCTAAATCCTTGTAACTAGGAGCCCAAGACTTAAAGGATGGCTTTTCCCCTGCCTAGGGAATCTACAATAAAAGGCCATGATACAGGGTAGGCTATTTTGGATTGAGATGAGGAGAAATTTCCTCACTCAGAGCGTGGTGAACCTTTGGAATTCTTTAACACATGAAGGTGGTGGAGACAAAGCCACTAAACATCTTTAAGAATGAAATATAATTCCAGAGACTAACAGCATCGAGAGATATGGGGAGAGAGCAGGTATATGGTGCTGGCATGGAGCATCAGCTATGATCATGTTGAATAACAGAGATGGTTTGCTGGGTAGAATGACCTACTCCTACTCTCCTTTTCTACATTTCTATGTAAGAACCTAACAATTTGCAAAATCTTTCACAAATTCTTGCCATCTTCAGCAAGGGCCCATCTACAGCAGTTGTTTCATATCCTTAAAGGAAGGAACTGGTGTGTTAGTTCTGTCATTTTTAAACACCAGATGTTCAACTCGCAGTGAATTACACTGAAAAATCCATTGCACTTTTGTTTAGATTCTGATGTTTTCTGTGTAAAGAGCTACTTTTCTAACCTCTAATTTCTGTGGTTATCTTAACGTTGACCCTCACATCACTCATGGAAATAATCAATCACTATTTACCTTTACATAGACATTCATAATGTTAAATAGCAATAATTTTTATATTTATGTAGCAGCTTTAACATAAAACATGGTAGGGTCAAACAAAGAGACCAAGGGGTGAGGTGTGTATTTCCTTGAAAGTGGAGTTGCAGACTGGGTGGTGAAGAAGGCATTTGTCACGCTTGCCTTCATTGGTCAGAACATTGAGTGTTAGAGTTGAGACATCATGTTGCGGCTGTACAGGACATTGGGCTGCTCACTTTTAGAATACTGCATGCAATTCTAGTTGTTCTTCTGTAGGAAGGATGTTGTTAAACTTTGAGAGTGCAAAAACGATTTACAAGAATGTTGCCAGAACTGGTGGGTTTGAGCTATAGGGAAAGGCTGAACAGACTGGAGTTTTTTACGCTGGAGCTTCAGAGGCTGAGAGGTGACCTCCTGGAGGTTTTTAAAATCATGAGGGACATGAATAGGTTGAATAGTCAAGGCCTTTTTCCTTGGGTGGGGAAGTCCAAAACTAGAGGGCATACGTTTAAGGTGAGAGGGGAAAGATTTAAAAAGAACCTGAGGGGTAACTTTTTGACACAGACAGTGGTGCATGTATAGAACAAGCTGCCAAAGGAAGTGGTGTAAGCGGATACAATTTAAAAGGTGTCTGGATGAGTTTATGAGTAGGAGGGGTTTAAAGGGATATGGGCAAAATGCTGGCAAATGGGGCTAGGTCAGATTGGGATGTCTGGTTGGTGTGGATGAGTTGGACCAAAGAGTCTGTTTCCATGCTGTGTAATTCTGTGACTGTATCTAAAGGTACTTAACCAAATCATTATACAACTAAGCATAATACCAAGTCACACAGAGATTTATTAGTTAAAGTTATCAGAAGTCTTTTCAGAGAAGTAGGTTTTAAGAAGCCTGAAAATGAGCTAGAGAGATGAACAGTGCAAGGAGGGGATTCCAGAGTTTAGGATTTAAATGCCCCAACCTTGGTTAACTGTGTGTCTATGTATCTGTTCCATCTAATATTCATAGAGTTGTTTTATAAATGTGATAAAAGTTCAGGAAAACCTCTGGAATATGTAAGTATTATTTAATAATTTATTTAAATATTGTTATGTTACAGGTCCCGCATTCGAAGGGAGCTATTCATTGAGGAAGTGCAGGCAGGGCCTCATGGTCAAACGGGATCTAGTGGCTCTCCATCTGTCAGAGGAAGTAGGACAGGTCACAGCTCAGAAGGAGAAAGCTGTGACGGAGGAGACTTGGAAGCAGTGACTGAAGAAAAGGATAATGCCATGGGAATGGAAAATTACAGCACAGGGTGTGTAACCCCGAAGGAAGGGCAGATAGAGTCGGTTTGTGATGAAGATATCGAGTCTGTTGTGCAGCCTGACATTAAAGATGCCACAGCGATTGACACAAAGGACTTGTCCCATTTAGAAGGAGATGCCATGGTCTCTCCTAACGCTGAGAGTGAAGATGAGGGCATCCCGAAGCATCCAGGCCGAAATAAGAGATTACAGCGAGAAGCACATGTGTCAGGAACATCCCTGGAGGAGTTCCAAAAAAGCCAGCCCTCGGCCCAATCAGTTGTAGAAGAGGATAACTCTACCTCATCCGCCTCCACGTCGGCAACTGTAGCAGAGACCTCCCGAGATTTGAAAGAAGATACCTCTTTGGTGCAGCAGGCAAGCATTGGACAGAACACAGGTTGTGGGGGCACCACGTCCTCTTCCACAAAAGGCTTCCAGAAAGGCCTGTTCAACTTTTCTGACACATCCTCGCCTGCCCAAAAAACAAGTCTGCGTGAGAACAGTTTAAGGCGTAAGAAAGCAGCAAACTTGAACAACATTATTCATCGTTTGGAGAAAGCTGCAAGTCGCGAAGAGCCCATTGAATGGGAATTTTGAGATTAAATTATTAATTATGCACAACTCCTGAGAGTTAGGTATTAAAAGACCTTGGACATTCTTTACTCATTTTATCCTGTCACGCACTTAATGCCCTGCAGGCCACAGGGCAAAAATGCCATAGGCCAAGGTGCATATAGAAAAGGAGAGCATTAAGTTCCGTTCATCATTGCATTTTCAAAGCGAGAGTTGAAACATGCAGTTAAGCTTTTGTACCCTGAAGTGTTTTTGTGTCATGACTGATTTTCAAACTGTCTGGGATTAACTGTTACAGCTTTGCCTTCTCCCTCCGCCAAGTGGGCTTCAAGCAGCGACACCCATCGGCTAAAGAGGGGTCTCCTTTGCCATAAAATGGCAGCAGAGCGATATTACACTATTAACTTCTTAACCAGAAAAAGATTGGAGAGTTTTCAAATGACTAGAATTTTGTAGCTGTTCAGTTGCCACTGAGAGATTGCACAGTCATCTGACTCTAAACACACTAGTTTGGTTTCTTAGATATTTTGAGAATTCTTGCTGTTTTAAACTTTGAAAGAGGAAAAAAAACACATTTAGTCCACTTATTTTTTAAAAAAAGGTCACGTTAAAAAAAAATTTGTCAAAAAAGATGTGGTAGGTGAGTTAGTGTTTTCTTGTATGTGAATTTAGAATAATGATATGTAGTGCACATTGTTTCATAGCTTTAACTGACTCTGGTTTCTCTGCAGGCCAGGGTTTGTTTAATACACTCCATTTTAGGCCAAATCAGGACAAGATCTGAACCTAGGTATTTTGTAACCTGCTTTTTAACCTCTAAACCACAAAGCACGCTGATCAGACCTCATATTGTCTTTATATGTGTGTGAGAGAGTGTGAGAGAGCGAAAGTTGTATATGCGTGAATTCTTAGGTCTGACTGATTTCATATGTACCAATGCACATTTAAAGTGCGTTACTGCCACCCTTTTCTCAATAAGCTGTGTCATCAGTAAGGCATGTATGAGTTAGCTTGTCACAAGTTACATATTTTTTTCTTGCCATATCTTTAATTAAAACTAACAGTAGATGATTTCAGTATACAAGAATATTTTTGTGCTTATTTATAGGTGCTTTTTTTTTTCTATCCATTGTTAGGAAGGGATGAAAGGGAGCAAGTCTTGTTCTAGAGGGTCAGACTGCCGGCAGTATTTGGGATATTTTACAAGTTTCACTGGATAAATATTGGCTCCTTGACATCTTTCAAGCTCCAAAATATTGATTAGACGTTGTTTGTCAGTGTAAATTGCATCATGATTTTTGTGTTTGTCTTCTAGGTCAGAATCCATTGAAGTAACTGTGTAGCACAATCATAACCTGTCATTTTAATTATAATATATGAATTCTGTTTTCTATAATAATTATGGTTGAGGAGTTATATACCTGATATTGCACCGCAGTGAGTTGTGTGTAGTTTTGTAGCAGATTATGACTGTTTATAGGGAAAACTGCATTACCTGCATGATATGTTAAATAATCATTATACTTCACACATAAACTGTACATGTAGATTGAGCACTTAGCTGTTAAGTACAGGTGGTGCTGATTCAACTCCAGCTAGTCATAGGGAAGGGCTCTAGGAGGCTGCCAGGCAGTAAGTTAGAATGAATCCTTCAAATACATGATCACAAGAGAGCATTCCTCAATATCAAGCTGTATATGATGAATAGGGCAAGTTTCAATTACTTTTGATCTCCCAGGCTCATTCACCAGCCACGTCCAAAAAGATGAATAGGACACAGAAACTACTCTTTTGCTCTGTTGGGCAGTGCTGAGTAATGGTCAGGGATAATCTTGATATTTCCCTTTCTCCTGTTGAGGAGTACACTCCGTAATAAGATTTGCCCAAAGATCAGAATCTCATTGAATCAGAAAACTGACCATGTGTTTCCGTCCCATTCTGACCTCTGTCTTGCCCACTACACACAACTGCCCTAGTTAACCAGAGAACAAAAGGTAACACTGCAGTTCATTAGCACAGTAGTTTTCTGCCGTAGGACTACTTTTATCATAAAAAGTCTTTGCACTTGAGACTGTGGTAAACAAAATGGTAATCAAACAGAATATTTCAGAACAATTGACACTTACCACACTCAGTTTTCTGTTTCCTACCCTCTCTAACACAAGCATTAAACTACTGCTCCTTGTAATTCTGCACCGTAATTTGCATATCACTTAAACATAATTTTGCACAATATAATATAGTTGGAAGTCAGCCCTTGGTTGCAGATGAGGAAGGCTGTTGCCAGACATTGTGCCCGAGTTTGCACCCTTATGAAGAAAGGGAGGAGGATCAGGGACCAGGCCCATGTTCTTGACAATGTTCTCATTTTGCTAACTTGGCAAAAAAAAAAATTCATAAGTAAATTTTAGTAAATATTTTTGAGGAATGGTAATCTACCCACCTTTTTCATCCTCTCCTAAAGCACTCATGTCCCTTCTTAACATTGTCTACTTTGTAATGTGTGTATAAGACTGGACAACTCAGGAAATTAAAACTTAATTGGAACATAATATAATCAATGTAAATGTAACTTGAAGCTTCAGATTTTGATACTGTTTCTTAGAATGTAATAACTTTATCCCAGGAACGTTTACAGAAGTGTATGTTTCTGCAGGGCCCACGCAAGGGATTTAAAAATAGCTGTACAATTGTCCCATAGCCACTGTAACACAGCGATTGTTACAAAAACTTGGAAAATATCAAAAGCTGACAACTTGCTGAGATAAATAGAGCAATGTGTGTGCACGTTATTCTTTACAACATTGTCTATATAGCCTACATAGACCGATGAAAGGAATGCAGTATGAGCAGCAGTGCTTTTAGCAGGCAGATATGTGGTTTTATTCATTTTTAATCTTCTATTTTGTTCCTTGTGTATTTCATAATTAATCATAGTTTTTGTCTCTACGTTGTCATTGCTGTTTTAGTATCGCGTGGTAATTCATAAGACATACAGTGCTCATTATAATTTGTACATAAAACTAAGTTTAATAACTACAACCTGCAGATCACTGCCTTAGAAAATGTGTAGATCCTAAAAGCAAATACTTTACATTGATATGCAAGACTTAGCACTCAATAACCAGAGTTGTTTGAGTTTAATTCTGATACTATTGGAATGAAGTATCTTCAGTAGAAAAGTCTTAAAAGTGTTTTATTTTTTATAACTAATTCCAGAAGCTGACTTTCTGAGATCAATATAGTCATTTTACTTTATTTCCATTTTGTGTATTTATTCATTTGAAAATTAAGTCCAACTAATTGAGAAATCTATACTTTTTCTTTTGAGAACCATAAAAAGGTCTCAATTGTTCTGTTCTTCCTCTCTATAATTGAAATCCCGCCTCCCATTCACAATCACTTTTACGTAGGCTGCTTCAGCTGAAAAATTTACATTTCAGGCAATGTGCTTCAGTTTCATTAAGTGAATATTAATCTGTTAAATATATTCAGATGCTGCATTTTAATTTGCATTTTAGGGAATGTTTTCCAGGCATTCTATATATAAATGTATATATTAAAATTAAAGTTTTACTTTTTTAATTTAGATAGTTTGTTGGAAGTAGTAAGCTGCATTTCATTTCAAGATGTACACCCTTTTAATATCACTTGATAACCTGGTCAGAATAAGAGATTTGTAACTTATGATTTTGATAGTGTGTATTCATGGATTCTGTGTTTAATCTAACATGCCTTCTGAGGAACCTAGTAATAATTGTGGCCCCCTCTAATTTTACAAACTTGAAATTTGTTGTTAATTTTGCTTGTAAACCATTTGGCAACAAAGCCTTTCAGTTCTGAAGAGTGACATAATATAATTGGAAAATTCCAAACACATTGGCAACCGTACATCTGTTGAGCAGTGAGAATAGATGGACCACACACTGAGCTACTGGCCCCTGTTTAAAAGGTCCCAAAAGGCTGACTGGACTTGGTGGCGTTTTCCACTGTCATTAATTGATGCCTGTTATATTTGTGCTGCCGCAATATTGTGAAATATTTGTAGTTCTGATAAGTTTCAGTTCTACAGAAAAGCTGGATTCTGTTTGAAGTTTTAAATCCTATGCTAGGATGCTTTGTATGAACCATTTCTATCTACTTCCTTAAACCTAAGCTTGTTACTCATAAAGCCTGCCATCAAAGGCTTTTGCACTGAAGAGTTTTGTCCATTAGATACAAGGTTGAGACTATCAACATACATTCCACTTTTAACCCACAATAGCTATGAGGAAATACCAATCTTTATAACTCCCTGCCCTAAACTTTGTTTTGGGTGAGATTGCACCCAAATCTTCTGAAATTGCTGTCTGCACTACCAAGCCACCTTAAGAGATAATGGTTAAAGCAAATATTCCTGTGAACCTTTGCTCAATTTGTGTATGCTGGCATTGAATGCTGAAATTTCAAGCTACTTCAAATAGCAAAAAGCAAAAGAGCAGAACTCATTGTGTGCCTTGAATAGGATAGTAAGCTAAGAATGAAAGAGTCAAACTCTTGTCATACCCATAGATACCTTTTGATTGCTGTCACTAAACTGGCTGACAGAAATTCATGCAACAGCCAAAAAAGTTGGAATACATTCCCCAAAGCACTTAGAGCATATTTTATTAAGAATATATTTTTAAAATCTGTTGTGATACAGTTATGTAAGCACAAAATTTGTAAAGTCAAAACTTGTAGAAGGAGAATAAATTCTGTTCAGAGCTGTAGAGATATTTTTCTATAAAACCCTTCCTATTGGTGGCTTCACCAACATATTTTGGTGAACATTTTCTCTCAAAAGCACTATTATAAAAGCAATACTGACATTCCATAGATTTTTAATTGTAACTTTTGTAAAAAAAAAAATTTTTACTCTGAACTCTTTAAAAGATGCTTTGGAATTGTTTGCTGTTCAACAGCAAAAATGTACTCAATTCTCCATGACCTATTGGAATAGACCAGTACAGAAGCCCAGTCACAGATTGGAGTTATACCTGTGCTGAAACTCCATGTGTAAATAAATCTTTGACTGTACATTCTGGGAATTGGCCGCCTTTTATTGGCAATACTTTTCTATTGAAGTAACACATAATGCACACTACGTCATTTTCATGCAGCATATTGATATTGTGGGATTCAAAACCAGCCATTTTCTTTAGCAGGATCTGCTTAGGAAGGAACATAGTTTTCACTTTTACTGACTCTGTACATTTTCTACCTTGCATTCAAAGTTTTTTTTTCACTTTCTTCGTGAAACTGCTTTCTTAAACTTAAAATACTCTAGATCCAACTTTACATTTAACCTCAAACTTATCAACTTGTTCTTCAATCACATGATTTATTTAGTAACCTTTAAAAAGATTGGTAGAATTCCTGAGAATGAGGTTTACCATTATTGCTTACCAATGCAACTATTATGCAAATCCCATTTTTTTCAAACACTGTTGCAATTCATCACCAAATGAGATGCTTCCTATTGTCATTAAGATGGCACAAAATTGGCATGTTATATAATGTATCCAGAGAACAACATTAGTGGTTTAATTAATGTGCACTTATTGTCTACCTAAATCTCCCTAATAAAAACAAAATACTGGAAGTACTCCGTATCTGTGAAGAGAGAAACAGTTAACGGAACATTTTAGTTCAAAAAAGGTGAAAGATCATCAACCTGAGCAGTTAACCCCATTTATTCAAATGCTGCCTGACCTGCTGAATATTTCCAGCATTTTCTTTATTTATTGCAGATTTCCAGCATACACTGTGTTCTGCATTCAATAAGTTTCCCTGTTATTGATTTCATAATTTAATACTTAGTCAATCCCATTTCTCTATGTTTCTATCACCAGCTAATTGCATGACGTAGAGTGCAGATTTCCCAATGAACTGCACAGTGATGAAAATGCTATTTTAAAGAAGGAATCTGATAAAATACTTCAGTATTAGATTGCTTTTGAGCACTTACCTGAACCATGTTTGGAGAATGTTTTCTTTTCAGTTAACATTTGAGTTGTTACATCTGTGAAAATTGAATCAGTTACACCATTGATCTGAAGTATATTCTGTTTCTAATAGTTGTCATTGCTACTTGTATGCTAGCTCATCCAACTTCAGTGTGAAATATTATACCCTAACATTTCCTTGGTTTATATTGATTAGTTTATGCTGCGCAGCCAGACAAATTAGAAAGGACTTTGCCCATATTCACAATTGCTGCTTTTAAATGTACCTCAAAGAAAAATGGAGTTGGGTTGATTGAGGTAACTACAAAATAACCAAGTTCCTGCAATTCTTCTCCTTGTTATGGAGTGCCAAGGCTTTCATCAAACAACAAAGAGCTCAGACAGAAATCAGTAATCTCCCTCTGGGATTGAAGTGCTACTCCATTATTTATTTATTTGATTGGTGAGTTCAATATCTTCTTGCTCCATTCTAATTTATTCCATCATTGCCATATTCAATGATTTATTTCTTTGTTGCTCTCTTCCATAAAACTTTTAATTATTATCTTTACTTAACAAATCGGAAAAACAAAACACCCAGAGCACATTTTGGTATTTTTAACATTTCTATCAAAAGCTACCTAGCTGTCTTTACACAAAAAATTGACTTCAGAGAGGAAGATTTTCCTATGCATTAATAGCAAGTTAAATTATTGACCTTTTACTATTTGAGAATCAGGAATTGTAGGTTGATTTGAGGCAAGTGAGCTCACCATTGCTTCATCGGTAAATAATTTTATGGCTTTTTGAGATAGCTAACAATAACTTAAATTATCTAAGCATTAATCTGTTTCACTCTACAGACTTTATTTGTAGGAGATATTTATTTTCTTCCATTTCCTACAGTCCTAAAACCCTTAAATTTCTTCTCTTTGCATGAAGTATTAATAAAACTCTTATCAATACAATTCAGTCAACTGAGTAATTCATCACAAATAGCCTATTTTGTTACAATTGTGTCACAGATACAATTTTCCTATACCTTTCCTTCTACGTGAATGCATAACGAAAGGATTTCAGATTACTGTCAGTGACTGTTTTGATAAAAATGAATAGAAATAACAGATATGAGAGAAATACAATATGCAAAATGCTTCCAAAACCAAAACTGCTGGAATACATAGGAAGCCATTCAACACCCGAGAGAGGAAGTCTTCCTGTCCCTCAGAAACCCCTCATTTTGGCATCTTGTGTATCTGCCCTCTGCAGCCCACCTGGCCCCAAACACCCTCATTCTATCACAGCTTTGTCCACTTCCTTCCAAGGCGGCCTCTATCATCATGTTGAGTCACAAGTTGCTTAGTTATCTGTATTCCACCCATTAGCATTGAGTGTTCTTTCACCAACTCTACCATGTTCCCAGATTATGTGCATTCTTAACCCACATGTGTCTATGCCCATACTTTAGGTGATCTTTGCAAACTGTCCAAGCCATGTTTTTTATCTATGTGGAATGTTATAATGGCGCTATATAGAAGTCATCATTTTATTGTTGTACGTAACTTTAGAAAGGATTGGTTTCTGATGTTTTATCGAAGTATTTATTGTGTTCATTAAAAGCTGAACTATGGCCATGATTTGCTGGATGCTGAGAACTGGCATCAAAATACATAGCCAGGGTCACAAACTTCAAATGTAGCTTATTTTCAAGTCAGTATAGGTATCACTGGCAAGGTTGCCATTTATTGTCAAATTTTTAGTCACGCTAAGAAGGTGAAAGTGCGCCTTGTTGAACTTCAGTTTACTGAAGCAGTTTGATGTAATTGAGCAGCTTGTTTTGGGAGTGAAATCATGTTCGTTG